GAGAAAGGGTGGCAGGTTTTCCCTAATCAGTTCCCAGCTTGACTCTTCCCTTTAGCTTAGTGATGTTGGGGCCACAATGTATCTTCCTTTCACACCCGTGACTCAGCCTCAGAAGGTCCTGAGGACTTGTGCCCCTCTGGTGAGGCTACAACTTTTTCATTCATTTTAGGGAGACATAGGACATCAATCAATACATATAAGATATACCTTGGCTCAGTCCGGAAAAGGCCAGACAACTGGAAATGAGGCCTTCCAAGTCATAGGCAGACTCAAAGATTCTGACCAGCAGTTGGTTGAGTTATTATCTAAAGACCTGCAGTCCGCAGAAAGGAGGATCTGGGTTACAATAAGAGAGACCAAGGTTTGATTGTGCAGGTGAAGCCTTCAGGTGGGGGTTTCAGAGAGAATAGGCTGTAAATGTTTCTTCTCACACTTAAAGAGTCTTCCTATCAGTCTTAAGGCCTGTGTTGATGGTAATGAGGTAGGCCCACCTCCCTCTTCCTATCTTGGCCTGAGCTAGTTTTTCAGATTAACTTTGTAATGCGCTTGGCCGAGAGGAGGGATTCAAGCAGATGGTTGGGGAGCTTAGAATTTTACTTTTGGTTTACATGGCTATCATAATTTTCAAAGTAATCTAGGTAAACTATTTAAAAATTAATTAGGTAAATGTAATGGAATAAATGCTTGCAAATAAATGTCATATAATTTAAAATCTAAAGTTAAAATAATATTCATTAAATGTCTGCATCATTTCCATTTTTTTAACAAAAATTTGATTATAGGAAAACATTTTTCTAAGAAACAATGTGTTCTTATGAAAAGGAAATAAATTTTGTCTAATTCAAAGGCTATTTAAAGGTTATTTTTGAAACAAGGTATATTAGGGTTCTCCAGAGGGACAGAACTAATAGTATATATATGTACACACATGCATATATGTACATGCATGTACACATATATACTGTGTACATATATGTGTGTGTATACGGGAGTTTGTTATTAACATACACAATCACAAGGTCCCACAATAAGCTGTCTGCAGGCTGAGGAGCAAGGAGAGACAGTCCAAGTCCCGAAACTGAAGAACTTGGAGTCTGATGTTTGAGGGCAGGAGGCATCCAGCACAGGAGAAAGATGTAGCCTGGGAGGCGATACCACTCTAGTCTTTTCATGTTATTCTGGCTGAGCTGGCAGCTGATTAGATGGTGCCCACCCAGATTGAGGGTGGATCTGCCTTCCCCGGTCCACTGACTCAAATGTGAATCTCCTTTGGCAACACCCTCACAGACACACCCAGGATCAATGCTTTGCATCCTTCAATCCAATCAAGTTGACACTCAGTATTAACCATCACACAAGGCAAAAGGAACTAGTACATAAGAGAGAGATAGTGAATGTTATAAATATGAAGAAGTATTTTTGGTAGGAAAGTTTAAAAGAAAAATAATTTTATACGAGAAAAAGTCTTACGTGGTAAATTTTTTGCCCTAAAATAAAATGACTGGTTATTTAAGAAAGAGGGATGTGGCTGGGTGCGGTGGCTCATGCCTGTAATCCCAGCATTATGGGAGGCCAAGGTGGGTGGATCACAAGGTCAAGAGATCAAGACCATCCTGGCCAACATGGTGAAACCCCGTCTCTACTAAAAAACATACAAAAATTAACTGGGCATGGTGGTGCACACCTGTAATCCCAGCTACTCAGGAGACTGAGGCAGGAGAATTGCTTGAACCCAGGAGGCAGAGGTTGCAGTGAGCTGAGATCGCGCCACTGCACTCCAGCCTGGCATCTGGTGACAGAGCAAGACTTTGTCTCAAAAAAAAAAAAAAAAAAGAGGGATGTTTAGGATAAGACAGGAACTCCAAGCATATTGTAAATGGTTTGTGTAAGTGGCAATAAGGTTTATAAAAAGGGAATTTATGAAAAAAGCTTTACATAATCAAGTTGGCTATGATTAAAAGGAAATTTTAGTAGTCTTTCTAGGGGTTGGGTTTTGATATTAAAATATACTAATAAACTAAAGAATTGGTTAGAACAACAAAATTTTCTTAGGGTACTGATGTATTCAATAAAATTACAAGATATTTTAATTTTTTTAATTCTAAAGTTTAAGTTTTATTGCATCTCCCTGTTTTCAGCCTTCTCTCCCCTTCAAGAAGGCCTGAAATCACTTTGTCCTTCAAACTTTTCATCAGTTCCTGTAACTATTTTCCTCAGATTCTAACTGCTGTTGTGGCCTGATGCTACAAAATATTTTATCTTAAGGATCTTGGCCAGGTGCAGTGGCTCACATCTGTAATCCTAGCACTTTGGGAGGCTGAAACCGGTGGCTGTCTTGAGGTCCAGGATTCAAAACTAGTCTGGCAAAATGGTGGAACCCTGTCTACTAAAAATACAAAAAAATTAGCCAGACGTGGCTGGTGCCTGTAATCTCAGCTGCTTGGGAGGCTGAGGCATGAGAACTGTTTGAACCCAGGAGGTAGAAGTTGCAGTGAGCTGAGATCATGCCACTGTGGTGCAGCCTGGGCAACAGAGTGAGACTCCATCTCAAAAAAATAAAAATCTAAAGAAAATGTTTACTTTCGATGTAACCTTCTGTGCTCTTGGCTTTAAATTCTTCTACGAAACTAGAAACTTTCACTTGTGACCCAGGACACATTCTTCCTCTGTGTCTAACTAATTCATGTCCTAGGAAGACTGAGATTTAAAAAAATGTTATAGTGTCTGTGTTTAGGTATTGCTTTTAAAGACCTCATGCCATTAACTTGCAGGGCTTTGACCCTGGTAGAGAAAGGACACAAAGCTTGCTAAACTTTAAACATGAATAGCAGCTAAAGCCCCATCTTCAGACCCATGAGCTGACAATCAACACAACCTGCATTCATGAGACACACAGCCAGATCTTAACACTACTCAATCCCCTAGAAGAGGTGAGCACGTGAGAGTTTCTGGGTTGATTTTGAGAGAGAAAATTAGTTCAGAGTTTCTCTACAAATTAAATATTATCATCAAAGCCACACTGATGGAGGGCCGGCATCCAGGCCCTTGAGTCACATTAACAAGGTTTTCTTGGAGCAGTAACAACTCTTTAATTTACAAAATTATAAAAGGTTTATGGAAATTATGTCTTATGGTCAAGATGATTAAAATTTAATAGCTTTGTTTATAATATTTGAGAGACAGATTTAGTTGGCCTCATGCTGTTTTTATTAGGGAGTATGATTTGGGCAAGTAAGCTTTCTCTCTCAAAGAATAAAGGGTTTTGCTCTGTTTTTTTTTTTTTT